CATGTAAACATACATGTAGGTATGAACACTTGCAACTATTGCTGATAAAAATTGCATAACTGGCAGAAAAACCAATTGTCATAATAATAATATTTTTTTAATTAATTATAATTATTTTCATTTTATAAGAACAATGCAGGTATTATCGTGTAGAAAGGAAGAACTTATGTTACGTTTTATGGCTTTCTTGTGTGTGTGATTGTGTGTCTTGATAGATAATTTTAAAAGAGTTAGGAGAGAGGTAAATGGCAATCGGTTTTTAATTTACAAAAGAAAAAAAAGCAGAAAATTATCATTTAGATAATTTAGTCAGCTCAAAGAATTATTTTAATCGCGTAAAATCTTAAATATAGGTTTGCTCAATGTTTTATATCGGTCCTCTGTACACGGAAACATGTAGAAATGAAATATTTAAACATCTGAAAAACATCATTGATTAAAGATTTAAAAAAAGAAGCTGTTCAAATAGAATCTTGTCTCGGCCTATTCTTTTCTTCCAAAAACGTGATATGGGAATTTTAACCTCAAAAATGCGTAACGTACTAAAATTAAGAATTTCTATTTAAATTCAAATTCTTTTACAATATACCCAATTGAAAATAAATGCATTTTTAATAAAATGGGAAATAAATTAAAATCATTTGAGGTTACTGTGTTTTTTCAGCAAAGGACAGTGTAAAACTGTACCGTACAGAAATGTACAGAACTATGTACTGTGAAATACTGTGATGTACTGTAATGTACAGTAAATGAGTACAGAGAATAATAGTATTGTACTGTGAAGTACAGTAATCTGTACAGCAAAAATCTGTGACGTACAGTGGAAAGCAGTGAATGCGTACTGGGAAGTACTGTAGAGTACTGTGATGTACAGAGAGGTACTGTGAAATGCAGTGCTTCTGTACAGTGAGGTACTGTAATGTACTGTGAAGTACAGAGGCAAGTACAGAAATTTACAGTGAAAGTACAGAGTCTATCAGAGATTTTCAGAGAATAATCAGAATATCAGGGAATTTCAAGTCCAGTAGTATATGTCAAATACCACGTACGATTTGTTGGTACTTTGTAATTTATCTAATTTATTCAAAGAAATGTCTTCCAAATCAACTTCATCAATCAAACCAATTTTGCTGCTGTATGTATCCTCTGCAATAGAAAAGATGACAGGTAAAAACAAACTTCACACATACAAATTAAGTCTCAGATAAGTTGTATTTATGTGACTTATCTTCAACAACAGATTGTGATGCATCTTTTGCAGTCCCCTCTGACTTGAACTATAAACGCCTCCGCTTTGCCCGTTGTAACCGCATCCGCGTCAGTCTAATTTGCAGGATTCTGGAATACTTTAGGATCATCTATTTGTTCCTGTCTTTCTGGGGATATTTTTCCCACTGTTACAGGCATATACAGGCATATATCCGGAATATTTACATAGCGACGTCGGCGACTTTTTTTGTAATCGATTAGTAGCATCGAAGAGCTCTGAACGACCGACAATCGATCGTCGGCGACAATCGTTCCATCACTACTTGCTGTAGAGATAATTCTACCCGTTGAAGGAAGCACATGTGCTTTTGTTTACCTCTGTAAAATGTAAACATTTTTGGTTTACATTTCATAGAGAATTCTACACGAGAGATCACTCTCAATCACAGTTTTATAAGTAAATGAAACCATGATTTAAACCTTTTTTCTCCGGATAACCGTGACTTGCCAATGTGTTAATTAATGTGTCAACTAATTTAATTCTAAATCTCGTTATAGAGGAAATAAAAAATGAGTTGAATTCTTTTCCTCTCGAGTTATAATCTCCTCTTCATTAAATTGCGCATCCAAGTCTGCTAATTCCATTATTTATTATCTGGCGTGTTGGTTTCCTTAGGACATCTTTTTACGACTTGTTTTTTTTTCTTTTTTTACTATGTTTGTATTCTTTCTTGTCTGGGATGTTTCCTATTTTGTCATTTTTGTCTTTTTCTGCTGTTTTCACTTTTTCAAATGTTCATTTCATTTTTTTCTAATATTACGGCAAATTCAGGGTCACTAGAAAGATTTTGTTTTGTCCGAGCTGTTTATATATGTAATCGATAATATCTGGAAGCTCACTTGATACAGAGATTTCTTGTGACAAAAAGGTTTTGTATTATTTTGACTCGGAAATAGTATCAATTCAATCTGGCCTATTATTTTTTATGTTCCGACTTGATGCAGATTGCTTATGGTTCTCCGGTTTCAGATGACTATAAATAAGGCCATTTTAACAAATTCAGGGTCACTGACAGAAAAAGATGTAAAATTCCTGTTAGGCTTATGAATTTCTAATCACTAAAAGTTGTTTGAGATTGAGGGTTTGTGTTGACACAGATCCAAGATTAATCCGTAGCTCAAGATCAGGGTCACTGACAGAAAAAATATTTTCTTTTCCGCGCTACAAATTAGTAAATAAAAATCATTGGAGGCTCGTACTTCAAACATAGATTATTTATAGTTAGAGATTGTGTTATGACCTTGACAAAGGTCTCTCTGGCAAATCAAGGTCACTGACAGAGAAAAACATGTTCAAGCATAACTTTGTAATTAAGATTCACAAGAGGTTCATCCTGAGAAGAGAGGTTGTTCTTGGCTGAAAAATTGCCGACTCGGCGTTAAACAATATACAATCAATCAATCTTATAACAAATTGCAGTGACCTTGACCCAAGGTCGGCACTGCCGTCCACAGCTCAAACGGAAGACTTGCTCGTTGCAAAGCAACGAGCTCGGCTCTAGTTTTAATTTTATAATTGGGTTAAATATAGGGTTCATGATGCACTACATTTATTTCGTGATGACTCAATTTATGTTCTAAACGAGATTGTCATGAATTAAAACTTGCTGGATAGCTTTATAAATTGTTTAGTTATAGATCAAGTTTGCATTTCATTCTACTTTATTGATTTCTAAAGAAATTGTGGTATTTTTTTGATAATAGGGGAACCGGGTTGGGGACATGTATAGCTTATGCAATACTCTCAGATTGCTTGTTAAATATAGCTTATATAGTTAAATTTTATTATATCTTTTTTTAATAAACAATTTGTACACTGAAAATCATCAAAAATCATGATTTTATGAACTTTGTTTTAATAATTGTAATCATAAAGTAATCAAAAAGTAATCATGATTACAGGACTTTTTTCAAAGTAATTGATTAAATTACGATTACTTGTAATCAGAAAAATGGGTGATTACTGATTACTCATGATTACTTGGCAAACTGTAATCGATTACAGCTGATTACGATTACCCCATCCCTGCCTTACTTCGCAACTCCAGAGAAACGATTTACACTCCGTAAAACATCCAAAACAAATTAGCAAACTATATCTCATATAATTTGCATTCATTTTCGTTCGACAATTACGTAAAAGGTATAGGTTTGTGTGCAGAATGCGTTGCGCCGAGCCTTAAACGAAACTGTTGCATTTGGCTTAGCCTCAAGACATTTTTGTTCTCGGTTTTGACATTTTGACAAAATGTGTGCGTATGAACTGACTAATTTTTTTTTTACAATATCGTCATACCCTGATATCCATTTTCGTTCCATGTCAACCAAAATTGGAACACGGATATATGGGAGTTAAAATTCAAAATTTCATTAATCTTGAGCAGAAAAACTGAAGAGCAGCAAAATATTGCGATATCTTGTTTGTACGAGGTCGTTTTTGGTATCAATAAGCGAGACTTTTTGAGAGAAAAAAGTCATAACATTGGACTATTGCTGTTCTATATATAAGCTTTCTTGATACAAAATATAGACTAGAAGAAACAGACGATTTCGTATAATTACGAGAAAAGAACATTATTTACAACAAAAATAATTTAACAGCTTGAGGACAAAAACTAAATTAATATCTTCTTGAGTACATTTTTCTTCTGGTTATATAGCATAGCCAGAAGTCTCTGTCGAGACTGAAGCTCTACTGGTTTGTGCTTATAGCAAAGGAAGAGAAAAGTAGCAATTGGGAATTGAAACTTTACAACAGCAATAAAAAGAATAATGATCCTTGATTAAGTCTCTTTATGTTCTTAGTATAGCCTACTTGCATGCCACATTATTTATAAGGGGGGGCCATTTGATTCTGAGGGGGGGCCTGGCAGATCTCGGAAAAAAATAATCTGTCCTTGAAAATGTTGAAAATAAATAATCTTCCTTCTCAAAGAAAAAAAATAATTTGACCTTGACTTATGATATTTAAATCTTGTGAAAAAAACCTTTTTTTTTTCCGTGTAATTTAAACCTCAGAATCTTCAATTCAGTATTTTTTTTTTGGGTCGCTTCGCTCGCCATTTTGAACGAAAAATTTTTAAAACAGATTACCAGACTGGATACTTGTAGTCAGTTGATCAACATGACAATGTGCACTTAGTAGATGTGATGAATCACTTTAAATCCAAACCAATTTTAAACTCCACAAAAGATAAATTTTCTTGTCAAAGAATTATATTCCCGATAAATTAATACAAAGTAAGACAGTACAGGTTCAATTCGATGTCCTTTATTTATATTCACATAGAAATCCTTCGATGTGTCTGACATAGATTGAATTTAACTTTGTAAACATTGATATTATTAGAAACTCCTACTTCAATTAAACGAAACAAGTAAATATAAACAGCCGGCAGCATGTAATAAACAATCAATAGATAATTACCGTGATGTATGTCTGGTACTTTCAATAACTTTCAGTTAAAACATGTAGAACACAACTTTACACTGAATATGGCGCTCGTGCATTTTTGGTAAACATCATAGTAAAGTATCATTCGGATAAATTTGGAATATACAGAAATCGAAAGCTACGGACTAAATTGGAATTCGAAATAAAATATACAGGTTGTCCATTACACCGGCCCCTAAATGTGTTTTTACAAAAACATATTTCTTAATAAATCAAAAATGGACAAAACAATCATCTAAAATGAGTTCAATCACTTTACGTTTAACTGCACGGAGGTTCACTGATTTGTTTTCTCTTTTTCACAATCTGTTTCCAAAAGAAGACAAAGCTTTGTGACTGGTCGCGTGAGAATGGAAGACACTGTCTTTATCCTTGCAACGCGCACAACATCATACTTGTCCTTTATCACTTCTAGCACTCTGCCGAGATTCCATGTGTTTCTTGGAGTGTTTTCCACGATGAGAACTAAATCACCTTCTTGTAAGTTTCTTTCCTGCTTCAGCCACTTCTGTCTCTGTTGGAGAAGGGGTACATATTCTTTGATCCAACGCGTCCAAAACACATCAGCCAAATACTGTATCTGTTTCCATCGACGTTTTGCGTAGTTGTCCGATGCATGGAAAATTCCAGGGGAAAACTCTCTCCTGATCGCATGAGTAGTATATGATTTGGCGTTAGTGCACAAAGGTCATTTGGGTCATTTGAAGCTTCTGTAAGAGGTCGTCCATTCATGATGGCTTCAATTTCACAAAACAAGGTTAACAGTCCCTCATCATTCAAATGAATCGTTTGTTCATGCAGAAACAGAATACATGATTTTCCTGACTATCCTAATGAGGCGTTCCCATACTCCTCCGAAGTGAGACGCAGCTGGTGGATTAAAGCTCCATTCAATTCCTGACTGAAATTGCAGGTCCATTCTGTTCGTATTCCAGGAATTCAGTGCTGTTCTTAGCTCACGTTCTGCTACGAGATTTGTTCCATTATCAGCAGTGGTAAGTTGGTTTTCCTCGTCGTGCAATAAGCCTTCGAATGGCGTCAATACAGGAGTCGGATATCCAAGGAAAAAGGCAACCTCTAAATGTACAGCTCGAGAAGATAGGCAAGTAAATATGACACCGTATCGTTTTACTATGCTTCTTCCTCTTTTAAGCTCAAACGGACCAAAATAATCCATGCCCACTCGAGTAAAAGGGGGGTCATCAGCTTTTAGTCTCTCGCTGGGAAGGTCCGCCATTTTTGTTTGTCCAAAGCAGGTGCCTGATATTTTCTGCATATAACGCATCTGGAAATGATTGACTTCACAATTGATGACACACCAAGAATCCAATATTTCTCACGCACACGTGCCAGCGTTGAATTTTTTCCCAAGTGTCCGACAGATTTATGTGCTTCCTCTGCTATCAATCTGGCTAATACAGACTCTTTAGGAATAATTATTTGATGTTTACTGTTTAGAGTTGTATCTAGTTTCTTAAGTCTACCGCCTACACGTAGAACTCCATTATGAACAATTGGGTCTAACTTGGCTAGTTTTGATGACCTTTTCACAAATCCATTTTCACTTGAATTCAAGTCTTTAAATTCTTGGGCAAAATACTTCATCTGCACATACTTCAAAATGTTTGTTTCTGCTTTGTCAAGAATGTCTGCATTTAATGAAGGTCTTTCAGTTTGTTTAGCATTTTTCAATCTGTCATGCTTCTCCTTCATTTCCAATTCTTGTATATTCTCTTCTGTAAATCCCTCTGATACCATTCTTGATCTCTGTTCACTTTTCCTCTCTGCTATTATTTTGAGGTTTTCTCGTGCTAAGAGTAGCCATCCAGTCACTGTTTTCAGCTTCTTCCATGAAGAGAAGTGCTGGAGTAATCTTTCCATTCCTTCCACTGTTTCTGTCTCAACTGCTGTGTTGACACTCTCCTTAATTTCAGCACTGTCAATTTCTAACAAGTCACTAGCGATTTCAGTAGATGGCCATGAAACATCTGGTTTCCATAAAAACTCAGGGCCGCTGAACCATGATGCTGAATCTAGAAATCTACTCACTACTAGTATTCCCCTTGATGCACAGTCTGCTGGATTTAATTTCGAGGTGACATAGTGCCACCGGTTGATTGTAGTTGCTGCATGAATAATGGCAAGCCTATTTGCGACAAATGTGTGAAAGCGAGTTTTCGTGTTCTTTATATAACGAAGAACTGACATGCTACCTGTCCAGAAGTAAACTTGATCAATTTGGTAATCCAACTGTTTTGTGACTATCTTGCATAATTTCACTGCTAAGGTTGATGCCGTCAACTCAAGTCTCGGTATTGTCACTGTTTTTAATGGTGCCACCCGCGATTTCCCAAGAACGAAGGAACAGTGAATTTTTCCAGTTTCACTGACGAGTCGTAGATATATCACAACTCCAATTCCAACTTCACTTGCATCGGCAAAACAGTGCAACTCCTGACATGTCGTCTTCCCGAAGTCCTGTGGTTTGTAGCATCTTTTAAGTGTCACATTTTCAAGTTCTTTTGCTTGTGTCAGCCAATTTTTCCAGTCCTTTAGTTGACTTCCTGTAATCTCTTCATCCCATCCAACTGAATTTTTGCACATTTTTTGAAGAAGTGTCTTTGCTGTCATCACGAAAGGTGATACAATACCAAGAGGATCAAATATTGAACTCACTATAGATAAATTCCTCTTCTGGTCGTTGGCTGATTTTTAATGTTTATCAGGAATCCTAAACGGTCACTGTTAACAAGCCAGTACACACCTAGTGCACGTTCGACGAGTGTTTCACTTTCACCTTCGAGGTTCCATTTCTGCACATCTTTGGCTCGATCTTCTTCTGGAACAGATTCTATCACTTGTTTGGAATTACTTATCCATTTTGTCAGATGGAAGCCACCTTTACTACAAAGTGTAGACAGATCTTCAATGAGTAACGCTGCTTTCTTCTCTGTGTCAACCGAAGACAAACAGTCATCTACATACATGTTCCTGAGTACTGTGGTCACAACTGTAGGGTCAAAGTCAGAGCCATATTCTTTAGCTGTCTGTTGTAGTGCATAGTTACAGCAAGTAGGAGAGGAAGTGGCTCCAAAGATGTGAACTTTCATTCTGTATTGTTCAGGGCTGGCATCCAGATTGCCGTCCTTCCACCACAGAAATCTTAGACAGTCTCGATCTTGTTCAGGGATAGATACTTGGTGAAACATTGCTTCAATATCTCCTTGAATAGCAACTTTCTCCTGACGAAATCTTAAAAGTACACCAAGTAAACTATTTGTAAGGTCGGGTCCTTGGAGTAACTGGCTGTTTAGTGAAATCCCCATATAAACTGCAGAGCAGTCGAACACAACTCTGATTTTCCCTGGTTTTTTATCATTGTAAACTCCATGGTGTGGGAGGTACCATACTCTGCCGTCCTCTCTTTGTAACTGACTCTGGGGAACAGGTTCCGCATATCCCTTCTCAAACAGTTTGTTCATAAAAGTCACATAGTCATTTCTAACCTTTGGATCCCTTATCATTTTCTTCTTCAGACTCTCAAGTCTCTGAAATCCCTGCATGATATTGTTGGGTAACTGAATCAAAGGATCCTTAAACGGAAGTCCAATCGAGTGATGACCATCTCGAATGTGAATCGATTCTGAAACTTGAGTTAAGAAGCTCTTATCTTCTAAAGAGTTTTCTTTCACATCATCTTCAAGACGTTCTGGAAAGTCATAGTTTATGGAATCTTTCACCATTTTTTCTAAGTTTCTGTCTCTTTCCTGAGCATCTTCTATAGCCACTCTGTTTACGTCAAATGTATCTGATGCATTTTCCCTTATGACATTCCATACGATCCATCCTAGTCTAGTCCTTGTTGCATGAGGAGAACCGCTTGGCCCAGCAATTACCTCGAATGGAGAGTAAGCATCAGGTACATTATTCCCAATCATAATTCCAATTTCTGCATCAATTTCAGATGTTTGAATCGTTGACAGATGTGGCCACTGTTTTAATTCTTGCTGTGTTGGAATGTGTTCCTTTGATACGGGCATGCATTCTTTCGTGTACACATTTGGTAGAGTTATAATATGCTCCATCGAAAGTCCACATACTTGCAACCCACTGACGACGTACGTGTTTAGTTTCTGGGAATCCCCCATTGTTTTTATGGTGATTTGTTTCTTCTTCCCACTTGCTCCAAGTCTATGCATTATGTTTTCTGTACAAAATGACACACTGCTGCCAGAGTCAAAGAATGCATAAGTTTCTATGCTATATGGTTTATTTTTCAGTTTTACTCTCACTGGAATAATCGCCATAGCACAGGTTGTTTCTCCGGCCCCTTTATCACTAAAGGCACTGATCTGAGGTTTAGAGATCTTGCATGTAGTTTTGACATCCGTTGACGCAGGATTAATGTTTTCTTCATCTGTGGGTTTTGCTACACATTTCGTAGGGTCATGTAGGATCGTAGGGTGACGTCTGCTGCATATGGAACACTGAAGTCTAGCTTTACATTTTTTAGTAACATGGCCTTTCCTAAGACATCCATAACACTGTCCATTATTTCGCAGGAAGTTGTATCTATCTTGAAGTCCTTTGGTTACAAACTTCTTGCAGTCATTCAGTGCATGGGTACTACTTTCACAGAATTCACATTTCTGTTCTCGTACTTTAAAGTCTTGTACATGTACTTCACTTGTGACATCAGTAGACGCGACAGCTCTCTTCTGGTTACGATCCTGATTCTTGGAATTTCCACCAATAGATGCGTTACCATATGTGGGATCGTTCGATTTCTTAGCTTCTGTTTTCACAAAACTAACAAAGTCTTTAAACTTCACTGTTTTCTTGGTTTCCTTAGTTTTCAGCACAACATTTCTCCACCTATCATGCATATACACAGGGAGTTTTGTCATAAGTCTCTTTATATTATCTGAATAGTCTAATACAGAAACACTATCGATGCTTTCAGCTGCATTCTGACACTCCACCAAGAACAAAGAGAACTCATCTAGCATCTTTGCATCCTTCACTGCTGGCCAGTCTAACGCCTTCTTTATGAATGCTGTTGCGATTACTTCATTGTCTCCATACCGCTCTTCAAGTTGATTCATAGCTGCTGTGTAGGCTCTGTCTCCCGACATATGACTAAATCCAGACACTACTCTGTGTGCTTCTCCGAAAGTCAATTGTTCCAGATAATTCATTCTTTCATCATTGTCTTTAGTATTCGTTACAACTTTAGTATTGAATTGTCTGATGAAACGTCTGTACTCTAATGGATTTCCTCCAAATTTCCTTATTTCTGCTACCGGTTTTCGGAGATATTGTACGACACACTGTATAGCGTCTGATTCAGATATCTGTGGTTTTGTTTTGATATCAAGGCAATGAAGGTCAAGTGGAGGAATTTCTTCACGCTTGGGTGTGAATGTCTCTGCATTCGGATTCAAAGGCCTCTCAAACAAGGAAGGTACTGACGCAAAGTCACGATGAAACAAAGGCGTTTTTGGCGTTGGTTTTGGCGCTAATGTTCTAGGATTCACAATATCAATGTAAGAATCAACATCACGCAAATCAGCATCCTCATATCTTTCATATTTCTGAAGAACTTCTGTTTTAGCATTCGCAATAGCGATATTTGTATTCAAATCCAACTCTTCTTCTTCAAGTTTTAGTTTCACCTTTGCTAACTCTAGTTCCTTCTTATGGGAAAGTGCTGCTTTGCGAGCTTTCAACTCAGCTACTCTTTGTTCCTCCTCAAGGCGTTTGGACGAAATACTTGAAGCTATAGATGTGTGAGACTTGGACTTTTGTGATTCCTCCTTAACACTCTGGTGACCGTAGGAAAAGAACTCTTCTATTTCTTTCTTGAAGTTCATGAGGAACACATCATAGTCATAATGAGCCTTAAGCAATTCTTCTTTCTCATTCTTGTCAGTAAATTGAGATACAAGTTCATCAAATATCACAAGAAAATGTTCATAATCCTCAAGCCAAGAAGCATACTTTTTTCTTACTGTTTCTGGAGATTCATTATCAGAAATAAGCTGTCTAATTGCACCACTTGTTAACCTCAGTGTTCTGAAAATTTTGTTGTACTGTTCATGTTTATATATACTTCCTTTTTCAGTCAATTTTCTGTTTCGTGTTCCCGGTTCTGTTTCTTCTGTAGCAGGCATTATGCTCATAACCTGGACCGTTCAGCGACGGAATCACGTCAATGATGTGTTCTCTAGTACCAAAGACAGTACAGGTTCAATTCGATGTCCTTTATTTATATTCACATAGAAATCCTTCGATGTGTCTGACATAGATTGAATTTAACTTTGTAAACATTGATATTAACTTTTTATCCGTATAAATTAGAAACTCCTACTTCAATTAAACGAAACAAGTAAATATAAACAGCCGGCAGCATGTAATAAACAATCAATAGATAATTACCGTGATGTATGTCTGGTACTTTCAATTACTTTCAGTTAAAACATGTAGAACACAACTTTACACTGAATATGGCGCTCGTGCATTTTTGGTAAACATCATAGTAAAGTATCATTCGGATAAATTTGGAATATACAGAAATCGAAAGCTACGGACTAAATTGGAATTCGAATAAAATATACAGGTTGTCCATTACACTTTGCTACATAATAACCAATACCACTATAATTGTACCTTTTTTACTCTTAAAATACCCAAACCCCAAAGCTTCTGGGGAATTTCCCCCCTTGGCCTCCACCAGTGCTTCGCCCAACCCCTGGGGGCCTTTAACGCGGCCCTAGACCTCTTGCCTGAACGAAATTATACACGCCCCCATCCTGAATCCGCCTATGGTATATAAATAATTAGTTTTTAGAATCAATCGATCAAGGTGCCTAAAAAAAGAAGAAAATAAATAATCTGTCCTCGATAATCTTGAAAATAAATAATCTGTCCTTGACGGCTAAAAATAAATAATCCTCTCAAAATAATTTGCCACCCCCCCCCCCCCCCTCAGAATAAAATGGTGTCCCCTATTCAGACTTAAACTGCAGGAGGAGTCTTTTGAGATTTTTTTAACAGAAATTTCTTTTTTTAGTTAATGGCAACACCGTTCATTGAAATAAAAAACCCGATAAACAAATTATGTATCTTAGTGTATCTACTTGTGTGCCAAGTTATATTAAAAAGCCAAATCTGTAGGGTAGCATTTTGAAAAAATTTTCAAAAATTTCTTTTTTTAGTAACAAGGAACCCGAAAATAAAAACTGATATACAGAATCATGTATCTTATGTAGTTATTTGTATGCCAAGTTATATTGAAATCGGGAAAAATGTAGGAGGAGTAGCATTTTGAAAGAATTTCATAGAAATTTCTATTTTTATAAAAACGGCAACAAACTGTTAATCGAAATCAAAAACCGATACACAGAATTATGTATCTTAGTGTAGTTATGGTGTACCAAGTTATATTGAAATCAACCAAAATTGAAGGAGAAGTAGCATTTTGAAAGAATTTCACAGAAATTTCTTTTTTAGAAAAAGGCAACCCGTTCATCGAAATCAAAAATCAATACACAGAATCATGTATCTTAGTGTGGTTCTTTGTTTAGTTATATTGGAATCAACCAAAAATGTAGGAGTAGTGTTTTGAAAGA